ATAGCATTGGGGCTGTTAGCCCCCATTACTAAGTCTCTTTCCCCACAATCTTGAACAAAGATACGTATTTAAGTATAAAAGCAATATCATCTATATCACTATCACTTTTGTTACCAAAAACTTATGTTAATGATGTGCGTTTGCGTTTTAATGATGAACGGATGATGATGATGATGAGTAAATAGACCTAGTATTTGAAGCAGTTAAACTAGGGTAAATAAAAATAACTAATTATGAAGCATACATACATACATACATATCTGTCACGCCTGTCTCCCATTAGGGTAGGCAGAAATAATGGAACGCCAAATGCTTCGATTCAAACAAACCTCTTTCGATTCTTCTTCTAATTATGAAGCGTTGTATTGAATATAAATTTGATGTAATGCGCATATGTTTGTTGGCAATGCCTATGCATTGTTATCAACATACATGCCTAGGCGTGATCTGTAAGACGGTTTATCCTAGTACCAACACAAGTCTCTCACAAAGATTGTTTTAAATTGTAACTTATATAGCTGTATGTTTTATTATGTTGTTATTTAGTGAGAGAAATAAATATATACAGGGTGTCCGGTAATGAATTGATAACTTTGAAACGTCTTATAGTTCAATTTATGGCCGTCCTAAAAAAAATACAAAACAAAATATATCATAAGTAGTACCTTTGTTATCTTTATTTTAAAGAAAAGTAATATTTTTTCTATCTTATTTTACTGTCCTGATCGCTATGACCAGAAATGAATGAAATCTATTGATTTTTTGTTGTTTTATTATTATACAGTAACTGTGCTCATAGATAGAAAGTGAATAGTATGAACTATAAGACGTTTAAAGGTTATCCATTCATTACCGAACACCCTGTATTTACATTTACATTTAGAGGCAGGCCAACCGTGCCGTGCTCACTCCAGAATTGTCCACTGCCCATCCCAAGATCAGGAGCGGAGCTTATAGCTATGAACAAAAATATATCTGAGAGTATATATGGGCCTATTACAAGAGTCCAAGCGCCTCCTGGAAAATTATCTTAAACCAATGTGTGGTTACTCTTGAAATAAGTTTCAATAGATCGATATTGGAATTGAAACGTTTCACACTCTCGAATTGCAACACTAGCGACATAATGGTTCTAATAGATGCATATTAGTGCAACTTGCCAATGCGAACTAATGCATTAATGATTCGAATTTCAACTTAATTCCTAATTGTTATTTCATATGTGCAATACAAAACTGTTATTGACATTAGATTTATATTGATATTAAATTCAAGAGTAGGCCTGCTGGTTGAGAGACAGGGCCGTAGCCCTAAGTTTAAGGTAGGGCAAAAGAACTTTTTAGTAGGGCAGAAGCCAAAATTAAGTGACTTCGAAAAAGCGAATCTGTGTAAGTGTTCTTGGGGGCTTTTATTTTAAGGCATTTAGCCCTTTTAAGGTATTGCCCCCCATAGCTACGGCTATATTGGGAGAGAATACATGAATAAGATGCCCCATATAGTAGAATCACTTAAATAAAAAAAATTTCTACTATTAAACTTTTGCCAAAGGTTAACTGCGAGAGAATGCTATATAGTATTAAGTCCGCCTTTTGTACCAGCCATTTCTCTTTGTAATGTGGTCAATAAAGAATAAATAAATAAATAAACTACTCCTCTCCATCCAAAAGGTTGCCTGAAAGAGATCGCTTTTAACGATAAGGAACATTGTTTTCTCATTGTGAGCATTTCTTGTAATTGTTTGTATCTATAATAAGTTTACTATTGTAATCTTTTGGAGGAAACAATAAAGAGTATCTATCTATCTATCTACACAATATTGTGACCAACAGTGTATTTCATGCATATATATATATATATGCTATAATATTGCAAATAATAAAAAGCATGTGAAGATTACTTTCTCTCGAACCTAAACAAAATGGAGTCATCATTTATTCGGTACAATAATTAATCTAACTGATAATGATGATGATTATATTTTGTATAGGTACGTAATATTTACGTTTATTATTGTTCCATTAGATAATTTCAAAATAAGCACTCAAAAACACTAAAAACATACTCATGTATATATATTAGTATGCGACCAAACTTTCGGTTTCGGTTAGAAATTCTACTTTTGGCCTTAGTTTTATATAAAATAAGCTGAAACTTCCGGCTAGAAAATAGCCGAAACTTTGTGTGTGCACAAACACTAATATATATATATATATATATATATATATATATATATATATATATATATATATATATATATATATATATATATTTGTGGTTTTGTTTGTAAGATTGTAAATTTATCACTTATTTACACGTAGAACATTATTATAATATTTGACCATGAGCAGATGATTTTTAAATTACTCCTTTCCATCCTAGAGTTACCTGTAAGGGATTATTATTTAACAATAAGGCCGCCCGTTGCCGCCTCTTTACCTTGCTTCTTATTTGGATTTTATTTTGTGCCCATACTTTGCACCAAAAGTAAATTGAACATTGCAAATGAGTGTGTTTATGTTTTAGATTGTAACGTCTTTTATGTATACTTAAGTCAGGAACTTTTTAACTAACCACTGAGATACAGGCTCAGCCTAGTTCGGTGGCTAGTATCTGTAATTAGTTGTAATTTGTCATTCAATAAAGACTATTCTTATTACTTTTATGTAAATGTATCATTCTTTGAATGAAACAATAATGAGTAATCATTTGCTCATTCATTCGTACTATAGACGACGGTAACAACTTTCCATCAGGTCGGCGGTCAGCTTGTTTGCCTTTGTCAATCTTCTTTTTATAAAAATAAATATATGTATTACTGTGGCACACGCATGAAGGGGAAAATTGTTACTTCTTTTGTTTTATACAGCTTAGAATGGCAAACAAGCTAACGGTCTACCTGATGGAAAGTGGTAACCGTCGCCTATAGACATGAGTAGTACCATGGACATAACAAAGTGTACTGTTTCGCCCATGATTCCCCCAATGCGTTGCCATTCCTGAGGACTCAGGTGTTATTCCTCTGTACCCTGTAAATTCACGCCATATCCCACCCTTCAAACCGGAATTTCTTTTATGTATTTTGTTTTTTTTTTTTATTTTTGTATATGTATTCTTTTATTTTTTGCATGTTGCATTTGCAAGTCCATCTATGTGTTGTTATTTGTATGCTGTAAGTAATGCAAATAAATTATTCATCTATGTATCTATCTATATAAATATTACAGGCAGTGCTTGGACGTATAGTTTAGCGTGGTGACCGGCAAAAGACACAGTAACACAGGGAGTGTCGGTGTGTCTTTTGCCAGTTTTGTCTTTATTACAATCTACAAATCAAGATCAATCAAGACTTTTTAAAACAGTCTACTTATGTCCAATAGGAGAACAGTTAAAAATTCAATTAATTGATTGAATGATGAATTGTTACCGTGATAATTTCAACAAAACTTGGCTTAATTTTTCATTAAATTCCAAGAAACACACTTTGTAGTCGGAATTATTCGTCGAATTTCAAAAACAGTTGAACCATTTTCAATGTTTCTGATTGATTAAGAAATTATAAAGATCATAAATATTGATTGTACAATAAGAATCTTATTAAGCTGTTACTAGAAATTCGAATGTATTTTGATTGCAAAAAAGTATTGGTAAAATTTTTGATAAAAAATATGACCTAAGTGCTAAATTTTCATTGGTAAATTTATATCTAACCTGTTTTATATAATTCATGGTTTAATTTGTTTTTAGGCAACTTATAATAGCAAATAAGCTGACGGACCACCTGATGGAAAGTGGTAACCGTCGCCTATAACATAGACATGAGCAGTACCATGGACATAACAGAGTATACTGTTTCGCCCATGATACCCCTCATGCGTTGCCATTTCTGAGCACTCATGTGTACTCTGTACCCTGTAAGTTCACTGTCATATACCACCCTTCGAATCGAAACACAGCCATGTAAACTTAATTGCTTCACGGTAGAAACAGAATACGGTAGTTTATCGTCAGAGCACTTTTTAAATAATAAAAAATAATGAAATTTTTTGAACATGTTTTCCAAAATTAACAGTTAAATCTGATGGTGGCTCACGCCAGCATGATTTTTTTTTGTGTTTATATATACTACGATCTGTCTCCTTGCTGGGACAATAAGTAGTATTTTTGACGTAGTTATACTTTAATGGCGTGCTCGGTATGCGACTTGAGTCGCATCCTACTTTATTTTATGTATGAAATAAATGTTTTTCAATAATATATTATTGAGGGATAAAAATGAAAATTCTTTTTTTAATTTGCAACTAAACGATGACTTTTTAATACATTTCTCCTATATTACATTCGTTTGTACAAAAACAACGTATCGATGAAGTATACAACGTTACAGTATTCAATTCGACTTCATCCAAATGTCACAATAATGAAAACAATACAAAATGTTACTAAATTACAAAAAAAAAATACGTATAAACGAGATCTTCACCATTTGAAAATAAACGTAAAAAATAAAAAATAAAATAAAAATAGGCAAAATATTACTGTACAAATAGTTATTTGCAATAATCTAACAAAAACATTGTTATACAACGTGTTGAGGTTTTATTTAAGTTATTTTTAAAGATAGAATTTATCGTATATTTTTATTGTTTTATCCAACGAACCCTTTACACAACGATTATTACGAGATGCGACCATAGATTAAGGGTTTAACCTCTTTCTATGTCTATGATTGTAACAATAATCCAATTGTCAAAATATTTTAAAATGAACAACCTTCATTTATTAATTAATTGTAATTTGATTCAATACCAACTCGTGATTACGATTTAAGTAAAAAAATATTGAAAAAAAAAAACCTATTTTTGTCTTAATTTTTTTTTATTTATCAGTTGAAAACAGTTATGACTGTCGGTGATTATTTAAGCTTTATTGTTGACAAATTTATAATCTATTGCCTAATAATCGAGTCAAGTGGTATAACAAAATTAATATTTTTCTTATAAATGTTATAATTATTATTAATAAAATAGAACAAGTATTTGTTTTATAATTTGAAGAAAAATTGTGTCAAGGTTTTATAGCTATTTTTTTTTATTACAAAACCCGATAACGTCATTAATGTAGACCAACAAATGTGGTACATGTTTTACATTCAAAACTCAATTTTTTGTATTAGTTTTAACTTTAGCTAGTTGTTGATAACCTCGGTGGTACAAGCGTTATTATTTCGCGTTTGAATTACATTTTTAGACTTAACAGTTTAGAATTATTTTTTTGAAAAATTTATAGTAAGTTTATGTAATTTAAAAAAATTTTTTTTTTTCATGTATTCTAACTTACTACACAGAAAAAGACTTTCTGAGTAAGTAGGTTTAAAAATTTTATTTGCAATTTAAGGCTTTTTTAATTTAGAGTTTGTTTCAGTGTTTGTTTTTTTTTTTATTCCTGGTCATAAATTTATTGTCAATTGATTTCTCTAGCTAAATTTAGAGTATTTTCTTGTAGCAAAGACATTAATATTAAATGATATAATCAAAACAATGGCAACACTGCTATATCTATTTGTTATTTATTATTCGAACATTAAAGTCATGCATTTATTATATAAAAAAAATAGTATTACACACATCATTTAATTCATTCTTAGTGCTGTTTTAAGACATTTTTAAGTTGTTCTTTTTTGCAATTTCTTTTTTTATTAAATACTTATTTCTTTGTAACGTTTATAATCACTGCATGTAAAAATAGTTTTTTGATATAGCAGTATATATAGTAATTCTCAATTATAAAATTATGCTGTTTTAATTTAATGATATTAGAAATAAGATAAAATACTTGTTCCACTACATAAGGTAATCAAATGTGGATGTTTGGTAACAAATATAATATATAAATACATATAATAATATTATGAAAGGTTATGTTATGTACATATATTATAATAAAGACGTGTTAAATCATAAGATAAAAATATGAAACTTTATGGTGTGTATAAAATGTTAGGGTGAATATGCTGGTTTACGACTAGTAAATGCACTTTCGATCTTTTAAAAAATATTTTCGATAAGAATTGTTACTATTGAAAAATCTCGTTGTAATGTACAAATATAAAGTTCAAATTGATTACTTCTTATAGGTTTTTTTTTTATCTTTATATTGTTATTTAAAAAAAAATCTTAAAAATCGACATATTTTTGAAAAAATGTCCATTTTACTTAAAAAAAAAGATAAAAATGTTACAAAAACCTTGTCAAAGTCTGTTAGTTGCGCGACCGTCTATTATTTTAACAAAACTACTGAATTATTATTTAAATATTGGTTTAAAGTGAATTTTAATCATATCTTGATGCTTTATACATACATATATAATATTTAGTTGAAAAACTCAGTAAAAACATTATTTATTCACGTTTTAAAAATCTCCTCACTAGTTTTTGTAAATCTTTAAGCGCATATACACATGGGCTAAAGTTCTTTGACAATTATCATCAATACAATCATTGGTCATCTAATTATACAGAGAATTAAAAATAACAAGAACTTCTGTCTCCCTTTGGAAATACTTTTATTAAAGTTTTAAGTGAAATGACCGAGAAACAGCGATGGTCGTGGAACCAGCACGTTAACCCTATCATATGTTGATTATTTAAAGAATAAAGAAAACAGAAAAATAAAAATTAAAAAACTAACATATGTCCAGTAATATTTTGCCAAAATTCTTTCACCTACCTACACAGAGAATAAACAGTTTTTAATAAAATGTACTCAAATGACTAAAGTTGTTAATATTAGAGTATAAAAATATTAAAGAGCTTGCTTGATACTTATTAGCTATATATATACTTTCAGTGATATATACTGAAATTACAGCCTTTTTTATTTGCCGATTAATTACGGTATTCATTTTTGTTGCCGTTTTCAATTAATTAATAAACATAATTCCCTTATTCATACATTCGAACTTGGCATGCCAAACGTAATTTTAAATATTGGAGTATTACATATCTTTCCTTTCAATAGATCAAATTAATTTTCCCTCCAACTAAATTAACTTGAAAAAGTAACATAAATGCTGCATGAAATGTTTGTTGCGGGATTTCTCTTTTTATAAACTGTTTTGATAGTGCACAAAATGGATATTGATTTTAGAAAAATGGTAGATTTGTTTTTTATATAATAAATGAGAAACTGGCTTACAAGTAAACGGTCCTAACTACCGTTTTACAATTTTAAATATGGATGGTCCTCGCCAATGCATGATGTCGAATTGAAGACAACATTAATTTGAAGAATGGCTAAATGTCTACCTAACTAATGGAGCAATTACATTGAATAACCAGATCTTTTTAAAATTTATAATATCCATTATTAAATAGTTGTAAAAGTAGCTTAACAGTTATTACGTCATCGCGGTATAATGGAAGTAGCAAAACAAAGTATACAACAAGAAAATGCACAAGTTTAAAAAGATCTGACTCAATATAAGTATCGACTAGGCGTTGGGGCAACTCTCTTGAGACAACGCAAGTAAAAAAACATACAAAAAGTTGAAATCACAGAATACTTTTCAACAAACAATTTAACGATAAACACAACTGGCCAAAAACAGAACATTTTAAAAGAAAGCGACCCCAGATCCTAACAATAATTCGTTATAATATCTTAAAATTGGTTAAATTCCTTTATTCACTGTCCAGAGTATACAACCTTGGCGCTCCTTCACTTCAACATGGCCGTCTCACTCACACAGGCACGCATAAACACAGACTACAGACTAATGTGTGTGTGGTCACCGCACATGCCACAGGCCGAGGTTAAGTACACTAAGCCGAGGCAACTTCACGATATGGTCCAAGCCTTGCGGAGTTATACACGTACAGCCGTACAAGTCTATTGCCTTTAAATTTTGTAGTCCGTCACCTAAAGCGCGTAATCCTCTGTCTGTGACACGGGTACATTGGCCTATATTTAGCGTTTCCAGTTGTGATAACCTGGCGACCCGTTCTAAACCCTCGTCTGTGAGTCGGCAGGCGCTCAACGAAAGTGAACGTAATCCTGACAGTCCTAAAGTTGCATGTGAAAGCGCTTCATCTCCTACTTTGTCACAGAAAGACACATCTAAAGCTCTCAGTCTGCCGCTCTCAGCTAAATGGGCAACTCCAGCATCTGACACGCCGTCACAGGCTCTTAAATTAATATCTTCTAAATGTGGTAGCCGTGCTAAATGCCTCAATCCAGCATCTGTGACGGCGACACAGAAAGACAGATTTATAGATTTTAATTTAGGAAGACCAATTGCTGCATGTTTCAAAGCTTCATCTGTTAACCTTTGGCAGTCTTGTAATCCTAAGTGCTCCAACTCAGGCGTTCCTCTCGCCTCTCCTCCACCACATAGGTGGGCTATACCAGCATCGTTTACATGCCAACATGACCTTAAGTTCAGGCGACGAAGTTTCCTGAGTCCCCAGGCTATAAGAAGCAACCCAGTGTCCGTTATATTACAACACCCACCGAGTTCTAGTTCCTCCAAGTTCTTTAATGACTGAGCTATCCTGCCGAGTGACGAATCTGTCACTTGTTTGCACAATGACAAATCCAGTCTTTTCAATGCCGGTAGCTCAGCTGCAAATGCACTGGCCAATGCCGTATCCGTTACACTGTAACACCCGCTAAGTGACAACGATTCTAATCCTGGAAGCGCTATGACTGCGTCTCTTAATCCTCTCCTCAGCGAAAGTACCTGTAATTTACGTACTCCTCTTCTAGCTAATGACGCGAACAGCACTGGTGCTGGTCTTCTAAGGTGTAAAGCAGCTTCAACTCCCCGCCACACTGATCTTCTATCAGCTGCATCTCTCCAAGCGCGGCAAACTTGCGCTGCCCGCCCTCTGTCCCGTACAGGTAGCCTCTCGAATATTAACGCCAACAATTCCGGATACAACCTTGATATATGCGTTCCTTGGGGCTCCGGCGGAGTTTCTGGCACGTGAGGCGCGGGCAAATGCGGCCGATGAAGTCTGTACGGCGCGCTGCGTTGTTTTCTTCTGGTCGTGCTTGGTAGTTCGGTGAGGCCTAATCGGTCATCGCACCAGGACAACACGTCCTCCGTCCACGCACTCATTGCGACGACACTGTGCACTATAACGCGACACGAAGCATTGGACCGGTTTTCGGTGAAACTCGTGTTGTGGGTGACGTCGGTACACGCGTCCGTTCCGCGCGGTGTTCACTCGTGTACTGGCGAACGGCGGAGAGCGGCGCGCCCCCCTCGCGTCGGCGGCCGCCGGAGCGCGGCTATTGGTCGCGCTCGGCGGCACGTGACGCGCGCCGTATCGATTCGGAGGCTCTGCGGCGGCATTTTTAAGTTGGCGGACCGAGAGCCCGCCTTCGTCCCGCGCGGCTATACACACCCGCCATATAGATTATAAGCCAACAGAAGTACACATAATCTTAGTTTGTATACTTAGTTTCTAACAAATAATTCATTATAAATATACACATCAAATGTGTATAGAGATCAAGTACATTTTTAACTACAAAAAAATATTCAATTAATATTTACCAAATCTAGTCTTCCAAACTAGCTTGTGACTTTAATTCCTACGTTTATATTAATAATTTATACCTATATTTTATACAAATTAAGAAAAAATGCATTTTTTGCAAATTGTGGTAAATTAACCTAAGTTTTTTTACGCAACTTAGAATGACAAACAAGCTGACGGTGCACCTGATGAAAAATGGTAATCGTCGCCTATAAACATGAACAGTACCATGGACATAACATAATGTGTACTGTTTCGCCCATGATACCCTCATGCGTTGCCATTCCTGAGGACTCAGGTGTTGTTCCTCTGTATCCTGTAAATTCACTGCCATATCCCACCCTTCAAACCGAAACACAGCCATGCAAACACAACTGCTTCACGGTAGACACACGAATGGGACAGAGATGCCCAAGCAAACGACTTTTGTACAATGTTTCCCTCTGGTAAAGGTTAATGCTGACAATTAAATGCCAGTTTTCTTTCCAATTTTTGTGTTCGCGATCCCTATGACTGCTGGGCGCTATAGGTGGAACTCTTAGCGACCTTCGGGAATGCAGTCACTTAACGTTAACAATTTCGCATGGTTTGGTCGTTTATCCGCAAGCCTGAAGAGCTATGTAACCTCGTAACCAACATCATTGTGGTCATGGTACGATTCCGTCGAGCAGTATTTTGGATGTACCGGTACTGTCTGCGAGTGAAGATGCGAGAACCTGAAGAGAAGCGAGAGAAAAAGATGAGAGAAGCCTGTGTTTTGATAGTATATCCAAAAGCAGCTGGTGAGGCTTTGTATAGTACCAAGAGCGACAGTCTCAGTATGTTAGCTGGAACCAGCTTGCAATATTTCGATGGTTATACAAATAACAAAATAACAGTCGGAGATTGATGGCTAATATGGAAAGTTGTGAGACTTCCGGTAGTAATATTGGTGGTCAATCTTCGAGTGTTGCCAGTCACATGCTAATGGTAGTGGAATTAAACAAAATAATTACATTCAAATAACCAGTGATCTAAAGATTTCTCCGTGAGAAACCTACGATGTAGGCAATGATATTATGACTATCAACTCTTTTATTCTTTGGACTGAGTGATAAGGCGGCAAAACAACTCGGCGCGCCGTATATTTTCGTTCGCGCTGCACTTGCCGACGACTTATGACCAGTTTATAAAGACCCCTGTCACCTCCCGCGATGGCCTCTATTGCTGGAGATGGAAGAATTCCCAAGTGTTACGACATAGATACGTTTATACTGGCCATATGATAACACCGGCCAACTATTACAAGGGCGACCGGTCGCGACTCGCGAGCGTTCCAAATATGAATTTCGAATTCAAACGTGTTCCAGAATGGAACGCGGATCGGTAGGTCTGGTCCGTTTAGAAAACTGGTTGGAGATGACACTTGCATAATTATTAAAAATAAACTTAATTTCAATGTATTACCATTAAACTTTCCTTTTACTTGATATCTACCGTTTCTTTCTGTTACTTGCTTAGATAGATACCTACTTATCTAGGTAAAAATATTCAGCTATATGTCATAAAGTACTAAAATATGTAAATAGACATAATTTGATATTATTACAGAGTACCTATGCCTACGAATGTCGTTAAAAATTCCTATTTGTGACCTACAAACTTTTAATATTGCTGGACGAGTATAAAAATTATAAAATTCCAAGGACATTTTAACCGCTACGTGTTTGTTTCTACCCATTAAATAATTGACAATCAAGATTATCATGTAATAATTTATAATTCTGTATTGTGTAGGTAGATCACTAATTGAATTGTTTGATCTTAGGTCAGACACACCTAAGTCCTAATCATCCTAAGTCATTTTTCAGAAAATTTGCTTTAGTAAAAAGAGCTTACTTTTTTTAAATCTTCTAAAATTCATTTGCATTCGTACCTACAAGAAAATGTAGATAAAACCAGAAAATAAATTTATTATTATTTTTAATGCATTGAAATTTTATATTACAGGTACGTACGTAGATATATTTTATACCTATTTATTATATTTTTACATCGTGTGTTGGTGTGAGTAGACAGAATATTAACTACGTTTAAATTCCAATTGTATTTCTTATATGTTAAAGCATACTTTCACTTTAATAGCTCAACGACCAGTATGTTGAATAGAAACACTAAATGCAAGTAAATTTTCGTTCTTATGCTTTTACAAATAAAGTTCACATTCATTTGTACATTTCTGTATAACAAGCGTATTAAACAGGATATTGAATAATCACTCCTATTGCAATTCGTGTAGAGTTTATTTCTTTTTGTTATAAAATTATAGAGACGGAATGTAAATCAGCTGATGCAGGTGTGTGTGAGCGTGGAAGGCATGCGGGTAGTGGACCCCGCGTTCCGGTTGACTGGTTCTATCTAACTTTTTTATATCACGCTTTCATATCTCACGGGGTGAGATTGGAAGAAATACAGTAAGTTTCAGAAATCCATTGATTAATAACGTTTAGATAAACGCATCGATCGAAAAACACGGCCTATTTTATCAAATAGTGCAGTTTTCGGTTTTCTCAATTATGCAATATAGTTTATATATAATTTAAAGATAATAGGTGAGGATAAAAGTCACTTAGCCTATCATGATGAAGTCACCAAGTATTAACTAGTATGGATGACGAACTACGTAGAAGTCGACCTGGCAGCAACGGGGATAAAGATCCCCATTAGGAGAAAAAGGAATTATTAGTAATGGAGTCTAACAGCCCCATTGCTAGCGATATACCCTATCAGATCGACCTCCACGCGGCTCCCCCTGGAAACTATTGTGGTTAATTTTTGTATAAATCGTCACGATAAGCCGACTGACCTGCTTTCGTCCCCACTTATAAGTCCTTCACTGGTCCCCTGCCAGCGTATACCGACAGCACAGGTGGAGTTACAATTCAATTTTTACTTATTTAAAAATATATATTATAAAAAGAAAAGATTCCATTGTATATTTGTCTGTATGGATAAACTCAAAAACTACTAAACTAATTTTATAAATCCTTTCTCCTATTGATTTAATATTATGGTAAATCTATAACTATATAATTTATTTTTAATTTTTTTTATAACTTTAATTTTATATAACTAATATAAACTTAAAAAATAAATCAGCGAATAACATGGGTTATATATTATTTTTGAAAATCCCAAGTAGCATTAATTCGTCATATTAACGTCGATTTTCTGCCATTGATCTTAAAATGATTTAAAACTGACGTCGTGTTCGAGTCGCAAACGTTCACTTGCTACCTGGGTTTCTATCGACCCGTGCAAAGCCGGGTCGGGTTGCTAGTGGTGGTTAAAGAATTGTTGGAACACGTAGACAATATCGTTGTCTTGAAAGTGGATTCACTAAAGTTAAGAGATATACCAACTATATAATGCTGGGAATTAAGTTAATGGTGTTATGGGGAAGCTATAAAGTAGCCAAAACATGCCAAAAACTCCATTGAATAACTCCATAGCAGTTCTCACGTTGGTGAATAAAATTTCGAGTTGATATGTAGGAATATGAATAAATTATATTATTTTTTAAACCGCTATCCAATATTTTTACACTTTCTAGACGTAGCCATCGTTACAACGGTAGAGAATTGGGGGGAAAGGGATTGTTAGTAATGGGGACTGAGAATCCCATTGCTAGCAATATACCCAACCAGGTCGACCTCTACGCGGTTCCCCCTGGAAACTATCATGGTTAATTCCTGATGAATTCATCATGATGGGCTAACTGGCCCGTTTTCATTCTCATCTATCACCCTTCACTGGTGCTCCGTCAGCGTATCCCGTTAGCATAGGTGGGGTCACCATACCATTTTCATCCATCAAAAAAAAAAAACGGTAAAGAATTCCTATAGCATTAAGTTCACCTGTTGTACTACATTTTATTGATCAATCAAGTTTAAATCAATAAATGAGTATTGTAATAAAATAAATACGGTTTAAATGATAAAATGTATAATGCAGATTTTTCGGAGTAAGTGGCAAACCGCATTGGTAATAGATTAGTGCGGTTATTGAATAGCCTCTAACATTCCTCATGGAATGACCTATCAAATAAAATATATGAATAAATAAATATATGTACCAGTAGGTAGTTCCTGAGATTAATTCGTTCAGACACATACCAGAGGGAGACTTTGTACAAAAGTCGATTGCTTGGGTACATCTGTCCCATTCGTGTTTCTACCGTGAAGCAGTTGTGTTTGCATGGCTGTGTTTCGGTTTGAAGGGTGGGATATGGCATGAATTTACTGGGTACGGAGGAATAACACCTGAGTCCTCAGGAATGGCAACGCATGGGGGGTATCATGGGCTAAACAGTATACCCTATTATGTCCATGGTACTGCTCATGTCTATAGGCGACGGTTAACGCTTTCCATCAGGTGGGCCGTCAGCTTGTTTGCCATTCTAAGTTGTATAAAAAAAAAGACAAACATTCTGATTTATTTGTATTATCTTACTAATTATAATAAAATTGAAATCGGCCAATGTCTATACATGGGAGATATTTATGGAAAATTTATATAAGTGGTCCTAATGAGAGCAATAGAAGCCAAAAAATATATTTTGTCTCTCTCAGTTACACTATCTGTATGTCTGTTCTGGCATCACGCAAAAACTAATGCATCAAATTGTATGTAGTTTTCACAGTTATATTCCTGAAGGTGTCTGGTGTATTTTTCTTGATACACTATCTAGTAAATGGACCATCTATTTCATTGGTTTTCCTACTTCTGAAGTCCACGCGAAGTAGCGGGCAAAAAGCTAGTCTAATGTAGATA